ATACATATATATATATATAAATATTAAACGTTTTAGAATATTTTAAGAGTAATATTAAATAAATATTTTGAAGATCTATTACAAATACAAAAATAAAAATACTTATTACAAATTTGTATACAGGTTTTTTTAAATATATATTTATAATTCTGTATGTTTTAATGGTGTGTCTGCAAGCGGTAAGACTTTATCTACTTCTGCAAACCAATCATTGTACATGGTTTTAGGATCAACTGACCAAAATCTATGAAATGATATAGGTTCTTGAGATGCCAAATAAGCATAAGGATAGTCCATAGGTTGTGCCTACAACAATTATCAAATATAAAATGGTTTAATATTAAAAAATGCTAGTTAAAAAATAATAGTCACTAGAGATATTAAAATAAACATTACTATAATGTATCATTTTTTAAAAATTACATATCTCATACATGCGGGTGTACTTTCAAAAATACTCTTGGTGATTTGCCATTGCCTTCGAAAGATAATAAAAGTCAAGTAAAATCTAATGTGTTCTGGTTAAACTTAAATCATTAGTTTAATGTTCAATATAAATTACGACAAAAAATTATTGCTCAAAAAATAAATGATACATGATACCAATAAAAGTCGATGCTAATTATATAAGTTATATAATAACTAGTGTCGACTCTTATTGATATTATATCATTTTTTCTTGTGAGCTAAAGCTTTTATTTAATATTTGTTATTGCACAAACCTGATGGAACATTGGAGAATGTACACCTTCCACTCTAAGTCGCAACAAACAAAGTCCAAAAAGATGCATGTCATCGGGAGTAGTCGCAGATGGACAAGTACATACGCCTGGTTCTATTATTAGATGAACTAACGGAGCCGATAACACAACTCCCGCACCGCCAGTTAAATACTGATAGCCGTGATGTCTGTCCCAAATACGAAAGCCATAACGTTCGCCGATCGCAACTAAGTGCTTAGGATTGTAGCACGTCAGCAAGTTTAATAAACGTACCACACTGTAATACATTAAAACCTATCTGAAATTTAGCTCGTGACCTCAAACTCCCCTTCTCCATCATCTCATTGAATAAAAGACATAAAAAAAAGATAGACCCTGCCAATTATTGAACAAAGTTCAAACATCTATTTTTTTTCTGTTTTGCTTAACTAAACAATGTGAGCGAGAAATGTTTAGCTTTTGAGTTGAATTTTGGAAAGTCTTGATTTAAGTATACTTCAATTTTTCAATATCTTTTAAAAATAAAAATTACAGCTTTGTGATATTTTGCATAATTTTGACAATTTAAAAAAAATTTTTTAATATATACAATTGTCTCACCTGAATATAGTATCATCATCAACAATGGCAAGCCAATCGAAATTGCGTCTTTTTAGTATTTTGCTGGCTTGTTGCAAGATAGCATAAGTTTTAGCGCAATGTCCTTCAGTAGTGTTCGGGACGATGTATGCTTCCCGTAAATTTTTGTCTGAAAAACAATTCAATAACTTACAAAGACTATAAATATATCAAAAAATATGTGTACATTGATCAGGCATACCAGCTGCATCACTAAAATATCCAATGTTCAAATCGTATTTGGCCCATGACTTTTTAATCACTGGGATTCTATCTAAATGAAATTTAGCACAAGTCTTAACAGCAAAATAAATATTTTTTGGAGTTACAGAAGAACTCTGTAAATTTAAAAGTTTATATTAATGGTTCAACAATACAACATATTGTTCTTGATTAGCTAACTTACTGAAATTATTCTTATTATTAATTAAGAACTCAGATGGTGTAACATACACAAGAATGGAAGAATCGGGGATACGTGGCACAATCTGAGGCAGACACAATGCATAGTTTAGACACATGAATCAATTTCACACCAGTATTACTTAAGACAAAGGTTGCAAATTCATATGATACGTCGATAGAAAAATCTGCTTTCGATTCCTTGCCTTTAGATATTTGTTTAGACAAACTAAAATATTAAATTATATTCTTAACTTTTGGATAAAAAATATAAAAATAAATTAATCGTTATCATATTTTATAAAATTATATGCCAATAGAGTCAGTTTTATAAAACGGAGAAAATATTTAGAAGAGAGTAGCTTTTATTAAGTTAATTTGTAATATACAGCTTATTTTATATTTTCAGTTAATTGTTCTTCAGAAGCATATATGTTGACTCTTGTAATAACTGTTTAACATAATGGATAATTCTTCTTTAAATAATATATATAATAATTGTTTAATATAAAAATAGAATATACCTCTTTAATAGCGTAACACTCATGGCAAATCCAGATGCAATGTGTGGATACTTAAATTTTTTAGTGTGCTGCGCAAAGTGATGAATAATAGTAGGTTCACGGTCATAAAGCGCGTATCCCATCCACACATCCTGCATAAACAAATTATCTAAAATATAAATCTAGAATAGAAATATATTCTTAAAAGTTTGCAACAAGAGCGCAATTCACCTGAGAAGAGTTAAATTTTCCAAGAACATCCAATAGCTTTTCTAATCGAATCACAGTATTTTCTAAACAGAAGAAGAACCATTCCACATCTGGAAATTCACCTGACAAATAAGTCAATAGTGGAACTATCGTCCAGGAACCTTTGATATTAAGTTTATGGGACAATACAATGTGCGGCAATTCCTATAAAAGTATAAAGATAATTTATTTAACAATAAATACAAAATAGACATAGTTATTACATACACTAGTAAAAAATTTAATAAAACACATAAAGAAAAAATTCTCTTGTGATCAAATGTACTTTTTCAAGGGCATCAGCTTGTTCATAAATGTTTTCCTTCAAATAATCAGCATGGGCCGCATTGTAGCCTTCCTTTTGACTCAATATTACTATTGTTACCTTATCGGACTCTAAAAATATTCTAAGTTAAAATTTTTTCATATATTTAATTTAAATTTTTAATTTAATTTAAATAAAAAAGAAAACAAATATTATTTTTATACTTTTTATAATATTATTTTTTATATTCTTTATAATCTGATATCTTTATATCAGACAATAGAAAATAGATCTGTTTTTTGTGATTTGTAGTATACACACAACACAAAATTCTCCAAGATTCATAAGGTTGTTCAAAGGATGCTCTTAGAACATCCTGAAACATCCTTAGAAGAATAGCATTGTGTGAAGTTCGTACTTAAAAAGAAAATAGATATGTTTGAAATTTTAGTACAGTTTAGAATAGTAACAAACCTAAATCTCTCAGATAAACAAAGAAGTTTCTGGAGTAAATACCTAATGTACTTGTATCTGTATTCGCGATGAATGAAATACAAGCGAGAAATGTGAGATATGTTGATAATTCCATTTTTATCGAACGGCGTTCGAAGTTCAATAAAAAACAAAAAGTTTATATGCGTTCTTGTCAATCTTAGTTCTATTACAGGGGTAGAGTTCTTTAAGTGAAGGCAAAGCTTTGACGTTTTTCAATTTAAATTAACATCTGTTCAATCGTTACTCAACAATCCGTTACATCCACCGTTAAAATTGCATCTGATCGCTATTCAGCTGTTCACTGTATATAAAGAACCGGCTTCGCCGACATCGACATCGGTCGTTGCATATGCATGAATTCCAATTGAAGAAAAAATAGATCGCATCGTCGCACCGGGATTCGTCAAACTTGTGGGTGAGCGCCAATCAGAATTCAGATTCGCTCGCTGCTCCGCTAAACACATGTTGTCTTTCAACTTTGCGTTTCTTGGCGCAAATCGAAAAAGGACGAATAAAGATCGCAATAATCTTTTCAAACTCTTTCGGTCTATCTATAAATTAACTAGCAACTATAGCAAGGATTCATACGCGGTACTTAGTTGAAATGTAACGCCTAAGCGCGGAGTAAGCGGACACAATTTATAAACAAGTTAAGAAAGTTTTGGGTTAGGCTAGGTGATCGATTAAGAGAACGCGTAGGCGTCTGTATACGCGACAATACGCGATATACGCGTGGCTTATCAGTCGTCATGATTGACTCTTACCAGTCGAGGGTGTACGAGAAGAAATTGAGGTAATTAAGGTCAGTACAGCTTTAATTCTTGACGTTTCTTTTACGCATCCTATATGCTCTATAAAAATATTTGTTTTTATTTCTACTCGTAAAATGTTGCAGATGCATATGTGGTACTGGTTTGGTACGGATTTAGGCAGCTTTTTGTTTCCGGGATACAATGTTAATACGATATGGGGTTTGGTGGCGACATGTTTTGGCTTAGCTGCCCTCGCAGTGCTGTACGAAGCCATGAAGGTCTCCCAAATTCACCTGCAACAGACTGTGATTAGATCCATATCTCGAACGACCTCGGCCTCCTCGGAGAACTCGTCCCTCCTATCCAGAGTGACGCCAAAGAACTTTAGATCATACACAAGATGGTATATTGTCATTTTCTTATCTGCTCAAAGTTCAATAAGATACAGTGAGTGCAAAAAGTATTCGTATAGAGAAAACATTTTTTTAAAAAAGCTTTATTTTTAAAAAGTAAATATTATCCAGCGAGAAATGAGTTATCGAACTATTGAATGTTGAATCGATATCGATACGATGATTTTAACATCAATTTGACGTCGATTCGACGTTTAATTGACGATCATTTTTTGTTGGGTAATTAACAATTTATTTATAAAGAATAAAATAGACTGTATGTTTCTCAAAATTATATGTACCAAAAAGATGTTATTATTATTAATTATAGAAAATGTATCATCTGAAAAATAAGTGAAAATTAAAAATTGTATTGTTTGAATGCTCAAAAAGTATTCGTACAGTCGAGAAATAGCTTCTAAAATCAAGAATACGAAGCTCGTTTGTTTATGTTAGAACTGAATGTATTCATTATATAAAATTGCTATTAGTGTTTATTTTCTACAAATAAGACTTTTTATAAAAAATTTCTCTGTACAAATATTTTTTATTCTTACTGTATATACTATCCAAGCATTCTGATGATTTTAATTATAAACTTTAATCAATTAATTTAATTGACATTTAACACCAGATGATGCTTGTACTATTTCCGTAATATGAATAAAATTACAAATTTTTTGTTATTTAGCATGTGAAAAAAGATTAATTACAGATTTTGATTTAGCCTGAATCAACTATTGATTCAAAATTTGATTGGAATTTGCTTGGAATTTATCTTTCTTTTTTTTTCTTTATTCTTTAATATATCTGTGCAGAGTGTCTCGAATTTAAATGCTCAAATTTCGAGAATGTATAACGGACAACAAATTAAAAAGAAAGATTCGTTAAAGATATGATCGTTTTTGTTTCATTTTGGAGAAAATCACAAAAAAAGACAAAACATAGTTTTCATTTTTGTACTTATTTATTACTTATTTATTCACACTTATTTATTCATGTTGTCACTTGCTTATAGTATTCAATACAGATATAGTATTCAAAATGTTGACTTTTTGCAGCAATGTATACATTGCATCTTGTATGTACAGACGGCTCTTGTTGCAGCCAAACACTGATGTGGTCAACGTAATGACTCGCCGATTTGGCATTCTTTTATCTGGAAATCAGCGTGCACACTTCCACATTTGAAGCATTATCGCTGAAAATAATAATATTCCGTTTTGAAAACAATATTTCGAAAATTAAGTTAAATTAATAATTTGTCTTTTTTTTACTATTTTCTCCAAAACGAATTTTGTCAAAAATGAGCATATCTCTAAAGAACTTTTTTTCTTAGTTTATTGATTTTCTGCACGCTCCTGAAGTTTGATCATTTAAATTCGGGACACTCAATATATTTATTCTTTTCTTCAATATATTAATATATCTACACTATTTTATTTTGAAAGTATAATATAATGTAGCAAACAAAACTTGACTTCATTATTGCTT